TCAAGGGGAATGTTTAGTTTTAGGTGCATAAATAAGAAAATAATGCAGTCTGAAAAATCAATATCTAATTTTCCACGTCAAGAATTTTTAAAAAGAATAGCCAGTCAAACTCAAAGGGTAGAGAAAGAAGGAAATAGTAAAAAATAAAAACATAAATCAATTAAGGAAAAATTCGTTTTAGAAAAGACTAGTGAACTGATAAATCCCTTGTAAGACTAATCAGGAAGACAAGAGATACAGATAAATATTACATATATACTGTGACATATTGAATTGGAAGCCCTGGTCAATGCAGAAAGAAAAAAAATTAGGTGTTTTGGAAAAGATGAAACAAAACTGTCCTTATTTGAAAATAATTTAGAAGTCTCCATTGCAAACCAAAATTAATTATAATTTTAGAGACAAATCACAGAGTTAATAAATGAACTCAACAAAATGGTTGGAATTAGAATTCATGTATAGAAACTCAATTGTTTTCCTGTGTACTAGGAATTCGCAATGCACCTATAAGAAAAATATCAACAACTACAAAACTGTGAGGTACTTAGGAATTAATTTAGCAAAGCATGGGGGAAGTGCCTGTTGTGAAAATTAAAAAATATATAGCCAATGATTATTAAAGATCATTTATAGTTACATAGACACCACATGACTCAGTGATCGTGCTCCTTGATATTTACGCACATGAGCTGAAAACTTATGTCTGCATAAAAATTTGTGCACAAATGTTTACAACAGCTTTATTCACAATTGCCAAATAATAGAAGCAACCAAGATAGCCTTCAACAGGTGAATGGATGAATACACTGTGGCCCATCCATATAAATGGAATATTATTCAGGAATAAAAATAATCTGTTCCTTACATGGAATTGATCTGAAGAGACCTGTCTACTAAGGATAGTCTCCTTTGATGGTGGTGGTGGTGGGTTGTTTCTGCTACAAGAACACTTAAATATACCCAGGTGTACAGATTCTTCTCCCAGTTCTATCAGAAATCTAAATAATCCTGTTGAATATCATTTGCCTTTATCTTTTCCCATAAGCATACACCATCAGATTTTCCCTTTGATTGAATTTAGAGTAGATTTTTTTCTTTTTCCTCCCCATTTTATCAGGATGTGATATGAAATTTTCTGTCTGCTGGTGAGAAAAAGGAAAACAAAAACAAAACTTAGTACGATAGCTTGGTAATGACACATTCTGACTAGTAATGACTACTTGCTGTGCTGTCCTTCGAATTGATATTTTGATGGTGAAAACAAGGCCTTTTCATCACATTTGCCCTAAATGAGAACTTTGAGAAGTTCCCTAGGAGTCTGTGTCACTGAATGACTCTAATACGCATAATAATAACTTAGGCTGCTGTTATTCTCAGAACCTGTTTGCTTCCTTGTGTTTCTTATTCAAATCCTGGTTGTGGTTTAGATTCAATCAGAACCTTTAGGGCTGGTGTTTAAAAGGTCTGTGGTTCGTTTTCCATTTGGCCAATTGCTAGCAGCCAGCTGGGGAGGATGTCTGGGTTAAAACCATAATAAATGAAATTTCCATTAGGCTCCTTGGCTCGGGACCATTTCCTGTGAAGACCTTGTCCTGCCCTTCGTGGTTTGAAGAAGCAGAATGCTTATTTTCTCTCAATAAATGAAAGCTGAAGTTTAGCAGGTACAGTGAGTGGCATAGGTGTCTTGTGTTGTGAAGAGATTGTGCTTGTAGCATTGATGCTTTGCAAAACATGAGTTACATTTTAAGCTGTAGCTCTTTAGATGTTGATAGCAATCACCTATGAATTTATGTCATGGCAGAAAATGGAACAAATATGTTTACGTGTCTTCATAAATATCCTTTGGGATGAGGAAAACTGAGCATATTTCAATTCTCAGAGAGTTGGGTTTATCTCACCAGCCTTTTTTTCAAATGGGACTGTTCTTTAGATTCCTTCTTTCTTAAGTTTCTGAAGAATGCAGTGTGGATGGAGGGGTGACATTTTTAAGCATCAAAGAGATCACAGTCCAACAGTGTGTGTTAGCTTTATGCACAACTTAAAGAACACTTTTTTGCCTGGGCACATTTTTGTGTTTCTGTGTTTGCAGTTGTACACCTGGCTCTGTATTACTTGCACACATGAGGGCAATTATGGTCAGAATGCTTTTGCAAAATTTATTAAAAGAGTTCCGGTTCCCAGTAAAATATGAATAAAACCACTCCAACCTTTTTTCCTTAATAAACACAAACATCAAACCTGTATAAAATGCCTGGTGACCCTAGTCGAAAAGTAAATATCAGCATGTGAATTAGGGAACAATACTAGAATTGCAATATCACTGAACTAGAGGTGGGTTTCCTTGGGTTTTTATTTTTTTCCTCTCTCTATGCTAACCCCCCAGCCTGAATTCAATGCAGCCCAAAATCTAAAAGTCAATATTGGGACACAGACAGAGGTCCAAGAGACAACCTCTAGTTCTGACGAAAGGCGCAGAAAAGGGAAGTCCTAAAGCTCAAAGAGATGGGAGAGCTCTTCTGCCTTTTTGTTCCCTTTTTGTCTGTTTTGTCACGTCCCCGCCCCCTGGCTGTCTTGTGGCAGAGGCAGCAGCCGCAGAAAAAGCAGCTGGCAAGGGGAGATTGCAGGAGCCCAAACAGTGAGTTAGGGGAACATCCTTTGTATGTGGTAAAGCTGTACGTAGTTCTGAGGGGGAAGGCTACACCATTGCTTGTTTGGTCTTTCTTCTCTCCCCACCTCCCTCCCTCCCTCCTTCTCCTCCTCCTCTCCTCTTCTCCTTCCTCTCTCTCTCTCTCTCTCTTTCTCTCTCTCTCTCCTCTCTCTTCTTCCTTCCTTCCTTTCTTTTTCTTTTCCTTTTTAAATATCTCTCAATTCTCCCACTACTCTGGTACAATCATAGAAGTGGGTTGTTTCTGATTGGAAGAGTGAAAAGGGGCATTTCAGGGTACCAGCAAGTATCAGATTCAGAGGGGATTAGGAAATGATCCCATAAAGTAACTGCTGGACTCACCACAACCTGCACATGCATGGAACTGAGCCTTCCTAGCATCACAAGGGCTTTGGGGAGGGAGATGATGAATAGAACTCCATCCAAGGGCCAGACTGCCTGATACACGGTGCACACCCCATGCAGATCCTGCATAGCTTTTGCAAATAGAACTGACTGAACTGTTCACAGCAGGTTGGTTGGAATTTATGGCCAGAAGCTAACCAAATCAACTATCCGGTGAAACAGTAAAATCAACATTCTCTATAGATTTAAATAAGGCTCAGAATTTGATAAGAACATTTAATCCATATTGGCATATGAAAAACTACAAAAATCTCAAGTCACATGGGAAAGGCAGTTAACAGATGACAATGAAAAGAGGACTCTAAAGCAGCCACTGTAACAATGCTCAAATGAATGACCATGAAGCCTGAAATGAAAAGTTAAGATAGAAAGTTTTATCAGTAAAGAAATAGGAGATATGAAGTAGAACCAAATGGCAATGTTAGAACTGAAAAATGCAATTATCCCCACTTTGCCCCCCCCCCAAAAAAAACCCCAAACACCTTACTATATGGACTCAGTAACAGAATGGAGATAACAGAAGAAAGAAAGAGGAAACTTGAAAATGAGTCAATCAAAATTATCCAATGTGAACAAAAGAGAAGAAAAGCTGAAGCTCTCGTTTGCTTTTCTGAAAATTTCCTTCACAGCTTTGCCAGTTCTTCTGATCTGGTACATTGGAATAAGGACAGACCTCTCACTTTTATAAATGTTTTTCTCTCTAGTCATCATTATTTTAATATAAAATTTAAAGATACTAGATGGAACCTTAGTTGATATGAGCATGCGTTTGTCCTTCAAAACACACACTTAACTCTGGAAAGGAAGATGAAAAGTTTGAAGCAGGGAATGGCAAACTATAGTGTGCTGCCCTTGTTTGTAAATAAAGTTTTATTTGCTGACTGGGTTAAGAGACACAGAAGGACACTCCCTGGATCATAGTGGTTAAAAGATACTGTTATTGTTCTAGTAAATGTCTTTAGCTCTGTTTTCCCTGGAGAGAAAATAAGAAGTCTCACTTTTTATTTTTAATTTTTCCCACTTTATTGAGGTATAATTGACAAGTAAAAATTGTATATATTCAAGATGTTCAACGTGATTGATTTAATGTACATATACATTATGAAATGAGTACCACAATGAAGTTAATTCATGTATCCATCACTTCACATAGTTACCGTTTTTATGTCTGTATGTGGTGAGAATACCTAAGATCTACTCTTCCAGCAAATTTCAAGCATACATGGGTGTTATAAAAAAGACGAGGTAACAGGTGTCAGAGGGGGTGTGGAGAATGGGGAACCCTTATACGCTGTTGGTGGGAATAGGACTTAGTAGAGTTGTTATAGAAAACAGTGTGGAGCTTTCTTAACACTAAAAACTAGAACAACCAAATAATCCAGCTAACCCATTTCTGGGTATATATATCCAAAGTAAATGAAATCAGTATCTCATAGTGATATCTGCGCCCCCATGTTCATTGCAGCATTATTCACAATAGCCAAGATATGGAAAAACAACTCAAGTGCCTATTGAGGGATGAATGGATAAAGTAATATAGATATAGATATAGATATAGATAATTTAGCCGTAAAAAGCTGGAAGTGCTTCCTTCTGCAACAGCATGGGTGAACCTGGAGAACATTATACTGAGTGAAATAAACCAGAACCAAAAAGCAGCCTTCTTATGAAGCATCCTTTGTGTCCACCAAATAGTTTCATTCATTGCTTTAACTTTCCTATAACTACTTTAATTTTTTAAAAAGTCTTAAAAATTCAGTTAGTTCCTTAAATAACCTTCTCCTGATATTTGTCAATGTTCCCAATCTAGTGTTTCACTTGGGATCACTCCATGGAACGTGCACGGTTTTGGAGCCCTGGCTCCCACTTTGTCGGGCCCTGACGCCACACAGAAGTTTCATCTTCCTTCTCCTTCTCTTCTGTTTTCTAGGAGCCCCTGACGTTTTCAGTTGAGACGCACTCTTGTGCAGAGTGGCCCCCGGGGTCTTAATGTGGCCATGGATCTTGATAAACCCTCTGTGTGGGGCTCATTCAAACAGAGGACCCGGCCTTTGTTACTCAACCTGAGCAAGAAGAAGGGGAAAAAGAACCCAAACAAAGCCCTAGACGTAAGGGACAGGCACCGCCTGGACCGTCGCCTCAGCCTGTCCGTCCCTGACCTCCTGGAGGCCAAGGCCTTGGCCTCGGAGGGCCGGCCTTACTCTGGGCCCCAGTCATCCTACATCTCCGTGCCCAGCAGCCTGTCCACCGCCGGGATCTTTCCCAAGAGCAGTAGCAGCTCCTTGAAACAGTCTGAAGAAGAACTGAACTGGAGCCAGGAGGAAGCAGGCCACCTCCATGTGCTGGAAACAGACTCCGAGGAGACTTTCGCCTCCCCCGCCGAGGACCGGAGGGCCTCTAGCAATGGCGTGTTTGATCTGCTCCCAAAGCCGCCCCTCGGGGAGGAGGTGCTGGAAGAGCCAGAGGTGAGGCCAAGGCTCGGTACTTTCATGCTCTCTGTCCTTCCTTCCTTCCTTCCTTCCTTCCTTCCTTCCTTCCTTCCTTCCTTCCTTCCTTCCNCCTTCCTTCCTTCCTTCCTTCCTTCCTTCCTTCCTTCCTTCCCTCCCTCCCTCCCTCCTTCCCTCCCTCCTTCCCGCATTCCCTCCCCCTTTCTTTCTTTCTTTCTTTCTTTCTTTCTTTCTTTCTTTCTTTCTTTCTTTCTTTCTTTCTTTCTTTCTTTCTTCTTTCTTTCTATCTTTCTTTCTTTCTCTTTTTCCTCTTCTTTTTAAGTGCATTGAGTGCCCTTGGAAAATCTGGTTAGGAGTTATTTTCGTGGTTAGCTTGGATGGAGAGAATGTCACTTACAAGAATTTAAATTGAGGTCATATTGATTGCACCCAGTGTTCCCATTAATTTTAGGGTTGACCTCTGTGTATTTTAAAATGATTCCAAATAATCTTTCTAGGACACTTTAAGGCATTAAAAGCCCTATTGGATGAGTTTTCCTTTTTCTGTCTCCTGGCAAAGAAATTAAGAGCATAATTTTTTCTTTAAATTTGCTTAAGTACGTGCCCACTTCTGTTTCTATCTCTCTCTGCACCATTGCCCAGACTTACCACAGACAAAACATGCACATTTTCCCAGTCCTAAGAAATGTATGTCTTCTTTTGACCGCCAAAGAATTTGAACTTCCTCCTATTTCATATGTGTGCGTGCGTGTGTACGTGCGTGTGTGTGTGTGTGTGTGCGTGCACGCACACGCACACATACCTGTGGGCAACTTTCACTTCCATTTGCAAAAAAAAAACAAAACAAAAAAACCCAAAAATTAAAGGAAACAAATCTTAGCAATTCAGTGATTTTTACAAAGCTTTAATGGTTCAATAAGATAAAATGGCCAGATATAACTGTGAGACAAATCTTGTATTTCTAGAAAGATCAGTTTAAATCCAATCAATCACTTGATAATGATTTTTTGATCCATTTAATCATATATATATATATATATATATATATATATAGTCTCATATATATTTAAATCATATATTTATGACACTGAAGTGAAAGCATTGTTGAGGAAAGGGGTTAAATTTTCTATATTTTAGGTTAGTGCAATAATTGCACAAAAAACTGGTTATTCAACTGGGATTTTTGGTTTTACTTTTAGAACCAAGGCCTATTAATTATGTCATTTATTTCCATTTCATTGGGGGATGGGCTTGTGGATATTTGGAGGATGTGGTTAGATTCACTTGGAAGCATTATTATAATATGTTAGGATACCACTACCCATTAAACGACTTTACTATTTTTTAATTGCCATTAATATTTATGAAATTCTTTTTGTAACAATTTTATGATTTTTACGGTATTTATAGATTTGAAATGCATGTTTCCACATATCAAAATATAAATTAAGTGAATTATTACAGTATGAAGGTGGTAACATATTGAATAGTTAACTGAAGGTTAAGCTTTACTTCTTGTTATTTATGAATTAATGAGAAAAAAATGGGTGGGCTTCTTGGCTTTGATATACTAAGAATCTAACATTAGAAGAATTTTTTTGAAGTTAGTGCTGTTAAACTGTTTTAGCATTTCAGTAGTCTGTGCCGAATATAAATATTTGAATGCCTACTTCGGCCCCATTAATGTTACAGCTGGAAATAGAGATGGATAAGAGGGTGACCCTGCCGTCAAGTTATGATTTATCTGTTGGGAGACAGCTTTGCACAATACTAAGGGTAGCCCAGGAGGCAAAGAGACTTGGAACTAACTGTCTGTGCAAACCATCCATGCCTTGCCTCCTGGATAGAGGAGATCGGTGTGTGGGGACCCAGGGAAGGTTCAAACTGGCCCACAGGATAAGAAGGAATTGACAGGTGAGCAAATATGGTGACCACGGGCCTGAAGTATGGATGGCTCAGTTAAGGGGGAGGGGCCGAGCATTTTGTCCTGCCTGGACAGGAGGCCTACTGAGCTTTCTGGAGTGATGGAGGTCTGGAAGGATGGGCTGTGCTAAGGGGCTGGTCCATGGTGGCAAATGGATGGCTGATGGATCGATGCTTGGTTATTTTCTTCATTCTGGGCTAAATGCAGAAAAAAGCCTGGAATAAATAGAGCTCTTTAAGGATGAGTTATTCTGGGTAATTTTATTTTCCCTTTCAACTCAGCTATTTAAAACAAAACAAAACAAAACAAAACAAAACAAAACCTTCCTTGCAAAAGAATCTTTTGTTTCTCTTTTCCTGCCCTAGGAGGTACAAGATAGAGACTGAGGCTGATTCTTTCTTCCATGGCTACTTACTTGGGTGTCATTTGTCTGCTTGGTGGCCTGTTTGCAGAGCATGGAGGGACCGGGCTGTAGCTCATCAGACCTGTAGGATCACTTGGGGCAGAAGTGCATTGTTCTGCCCACCCCTTCCTTTTCTCTTCCCACACTCCCTGCTGCATAGGGTGGGTGGGTCTGCATTGCGTGGGCCCCTCCTACTTCCTGAGAACCAGTTTACCTGGAGGCACAGAAGCTAGCCCCTCCCCTGCTTTACAAGGCTATGTAAATTTGGAGGGTGGATGAAGTTCTGTATTTGTATTCTCAGGGCCTCAGATGGTGCCTGGCTCATAGCAGGTATTGGTACAGACATCAATAATAGCTAAGTGGGCGTTCAGGTTAATGCGGTTTTGTTAATGTCTTCATTGTGAGTTTTCTTCAGCTTACGATGTAATTAAAGTCAGCATTTTAAAATTTCTTTTTGGAAAAACCCCATCGTGCACTGTACATGAAATCTCTTTGTATACGAAATAAAAGAGATTTAGGCAGGTGCACACTTTTCAGCCCACGTCTTACAAGTTCAAATTTGAATTTATTTTCTCTGCCTTTTAAAAAAAATGAAGATGGAAGTCCTGTTGAATTCACATCACCTGTGAGTTTTGGCGTTGGTTCATCCATGTCTTGGACCTGGTGCATCTGTTTCTTTCTAATGAACAGCAAACATATTTCTGCCGCTTTCATGGAATGAGGAAAAGATGAGGAGGCAGAAAGGGGTGGGTTGGCATGTGACACGCCTGGTGTACAATAAGGACAAAACAGATGTTTGCAAATACTCTTGGTGGAACTTAATTTGTTTGTCACTTTCTAGCGGGGGTGAGGGAAGGGCACCCGTGGTCTGGGGCACCCACTGGGTTGGTCTCACCTGTTTTGTGCAGGATGCTGACTGGGTTTCTGGCTGAGCCTGTAGCAGTGAGAGATGACCCCTGATATCAGTATTGTCTGAATGTCCTAGTCACTTCCCAGTGCTGCCATTGTCCAACGAGGAAGTGTTGGCTTACAGCTACGGGGGAATGGAATGATGAGGCAAATAAGAAAGAGACGAGTGTCTGTGGGCATGCTCAAACCAGCCATAAAACCAACATGAGAAAAAGGGGGTTCAGAGTGAAGACTACGTTGGTAGAAGAGGATCCCCCAGACTTTCCTAAGCCCTGGGTTCCTGTCACAAAGAAGCCTTGTTTCACGTTGCCTTGACAGAATTCACTGTCTCCCCTGAATGGCCCCCACAAATACAGATCATCATTTCCTGGCAACAGCCCCATTACCCTCCTAGTGGCTCAAGCGAAAAACCCATGAATGATGTCAGACTGTTTTACTTCCCTCGCTTTTCACAATCTAGGAAATCTTCATGTTTCTATCTCACATCTGTCTCCTCCTCCCTTGTCCACTTCCTTCTTCTCTTACCAGAATCCTCTCCTCCCTCAAGGCCCAACTGAAACCCTCCTCTGTGGTTCTTTTCCCGACTCTACCATCAGTACACTCACCCTGTCTTTGTTTGCACAGCATGCCACTCGTACTGTTACTGAGTACCAACCTCATTCTGCTTTCTGTACAAATCTGTAGGGAGAGAAAGGAACAGAGACAGGTAGAGAAGAAAAGGCAAGGGTGTCACTGGGTAAGACCCCGAGAAGGTCACCAAGACCTAGACTCATGGTCTGGCTCTGAGGACTGACTTGTGATAACTGAATGGTCATGGGACTGAGCTCCAAGTGACAGTCCCAACTGCTGTCATTTACAGTGAGAGCTGAATACTTCCTAGACTCTCACGTCCATTTCATTGTTGCCAAGTTCCTTTGAAAGTCAAATCCTAATCAACACCTATTTATTTCATGAACTCGTTGGGAGAAATGATCATTTTCAGGCCTGGAAATACTTGGAGAATCCACGATTGGTACATTTCCTCCCCAAAGTCAGCCTGTGTAAGACGTCTCATAGAATCAGATTATTTTGTGAATGTGGAAACAGGAAGGTTCCATACTGAACAGCGTCTGGTGTGCCATCCATCTGACAAAAGGACCTGGGCTGCAAATGAGAGCCTGACATACTCACACTCGATTTGCTAGAACCTGCTATATCCATCTCAACGTGCCAACCTGCCCAGCCAATGGAGCCAGGATTCTTCAAGTTTTATGACATACACTCTCTCTTCCCTCCATAGGGTTCAAGGGCAAGTCCAAATGTTTACTTAGACTTCCTTGCATGCCCTCTCCTTTTTTTTTTTTTTTTGATTGACACATGATTGTATTAGATGTATAGTATCTCTTTTAGTCAGGCTGATATCCTAGTATGGTTGCCTGGCATCCAGGTTGTCTGCTTTCGGTGACTTTGTATGTCTGGTCTCTGATGGGAGGAAGGCAGTCTTACGGTTTCATCTCATTGCTCTCATCCTCAAGACTTGGGGCCTAGGAGGTAGTAAGGCATCTTCCACTATGGCCAAACACTACAACTGCCTTGGATTAAATTAGGTGTTTACAAGTCGGCCCTCTCGTGAGATTGGAAGCTCCTAGAGCAGTGGGTCTCAACCTTCCTAATGCCGTGACCCCTTAATACAGTTCCTAATGTTGTGGTGACCCCCAACCATAAAATTATTTTTGTTGCTATTCTATAACTGTAATTTTGCTACTTTATGAATTGTAATGTAAATATCTGATATGCAGCATG